CAATTCAGATTAATGACATTTTTTTTTTCTGTTTTGTTTCCTGTTTTTAAGACATTAAAAATGCAAATGTCCCAAACTGTTTGTAATAAGGTTTTATATGTCCAGAAGCATTCTAGTACTTAAAAGCTAAATATTTGAGATTTACTCATTATAGAAACCACTGTTGACAATGATTCCACATACATAACATTTAACATCTGAGTGAAAGTTTGTTCTAATCATTTTATAGTTTTGATTAGGCGTCAGAGTTTATTAAACCTATTTAGAGTGATGAGGACAACAGAGAGGATCATCGGGGCTCCTCTTCCCTCCATTAAGCACACGTCATCCCAGTGCTGCCTGTCCCGAGCCTGTAACAGCGACCCCTCACACCCCCAGCATGGACTGTCCTCAGGGAAGAGGCTTCACAGCATCCGCTGCAGGTCCAACAGTTTCTGCAACAGCTTTTTCCACTCTAACATCAGACTGTTGAACCATTAAACTCTAAACTGGACTCTGCATTACATTTGCAACATTATTTTGCACTCCCAACATGCTGAACATTTATAATCCTTCTAAATAGGAAACAACTCACAAATGTTCTACTGCATTTTACAGCATATTTATTTTGCATTGCACCGAATCTTTCCATATTAATGCCTTTTGCACCATTATTTTTAAACTGGTTTCTTTTCTCCTACACTGTTTACATATTGATCACTGCTACACTTTATAAGTGGTAATGTTCATTTCACTGTTCTAAACTGTTCATTTCATTGTTGTGAACTGTATGCAACAGAATTTAATTTTATATACACCCTGTTCATACAAAATGACAATAAAGTTTGTCTAAGTGTTTATTTCTATTGAGTCAATCCAAAAATAATGTTGCTGTAACACATTTTACAAAAATGTTTTTTTTTTGTGTAAAAAGTATCTACGTTATGCACCAATCCTTTTATCAAGTCTGCATATGTTAATAGCTAAAATTAAAAATCTCATTTAGCAGAAAAAAAATTAAAAAAAACTTCAGCAAAACCTTTTTACCTCACCAGCAATCTACAGCAATCAGCTGTGGCTTTAGCAGGAGAAAACAAACACAAAGCACTAAACCACAGCTACTTTCCACTTTCAAGATAAACTAATAACCCTCTCCTTTATGCTCTACATTTTACTGCTTGTCCTCTTATTACTGTTTCTTGACTATCCTCAATTTAGTGATTTATTATTACACCTATTTGGAGCTATGTTCTAAATTCTGATGCAACACAAAGAAAATATTAATTTGCTGCTTTGTTCCCTGTAAAAACTGGACCATGGATGGTTTTTATTGGCAAACTGGAAGTTAATCTTTTTGAGCCTTCGGGAAAGTACATTTCTGCAGCTTAATAAAGAGCTGCCTTAGCTGCCAATATAAAAAGGATTTATGGCTATGATGTGAATCAGATGGGAACTTGTCAAAGTTCCAGGTTCATCTGAAAGTATTTTCCTGTACTGGAAGAACTTATCCACCCTAAAAGATCAGCATGTGTTCAAGCTCGAAACGACAGAAAGATGCAGTTAGAGTTGCAAACGTAAATAGAACAATCAAGAAAGCAGGTATTATTGTCAAATGTTATTTTTAATATTTCATTCAAACCAGTAAAAATATCGGTAGTCTTAAACAAGTCATTGGTCTGTTGGTGAGCTCTTCACTTCTTGCCCTTCTTGTCGTGGTACAAAGCATAATGCTTTTCACAGGCGATTGTCAGTCCAGCGACGAAAGGAACAAATTCTTCAAAGTCCAGCTCATCGTCCTTGTTCTGGTCTAAGTCTTTAATGATGCGTTCCACAGTGTCAGGGTTTTTCTGGGTCTGAAAAAAACAGGAGAGGAGCAAGAAACGACATGCAGCCACTGATTCATGATGACAGGGCTGAGTGATGGGAGACAAAAGATCCTTACCTTTAGGAAGTTGGGCAACTCGGCCTCCATAAGTTTCTTAAGTTCCTTCTTACTCAGGGTGGTCTTATTGCCTCCTTCCTTGGCGTAATGGTGGAACACCGTAATCATAGACTCCATGGATTTCTCCAACTCAGTCATGGCTGCAGCACAGAGATCTGAAAGGAGGGGGGAAAAAGGGGGAGGGGTGGGTGGAATTTCAGTTTTCTGAACTTATATGAGAGTGAAAATCCAGCTGGAAAGAAAATGAATTAAACCCGCTGGAGTAACTTTAAACCTAACATAGCATGTCTTTAAAACTACATTCTGAATTAAAAGGGAGGTTGTAATCGCTCAGCAGGATCTAGTGTTTTCTCTTAAACCAACAAATGCTTCAGTGAGGATGTGGGTGTTGGTTCCACTGGCACTGAAAGCAAATTCTTTAGGGCCGACATAATTTCTGGCCAAAAAGAAAAACTTCAACTTTGTTACCGTTCTTTAAACTTTTCTTCCTCTTTCATTATTTCACATTCTTTCAAAAGAAACAATAAAAACAGATCTTAATCATAGAAGAAAGATCAAAACCTGAGAATGCTGATTTTTTGAGAGCAGGTACTAGATACTGAACACCCTAAGGGATGTACCAAAAGAGACTAAAACCAGGAAAAAAGACAGTGATCCAGACCTTTATGTGTGGAAATAATTATTAGAACCTTACCAGAGCAGGATGGAGCAGACACGTTGCAGTGCAGAGTGTTTGAGGTTACTGATAGTTTAAACAAGGATTTACAGTCATCCAGGAAACACCCAACATGATGAGGAGGGAGTTGGAGGGGATACGGGAGGCAGGGAGTGGAAAAATTTTAGGAAGTACCATCCCTGTTCAAGTTTTTCCACCCAAATGTAACAGCAGAAAAACAAAGTCCATAATACAACTGTTTAACTAAATCTGTTTTCATAAAGAAAATAAGGGACGGTGTCTCTTTAAAACAGCCTCATCATCATTTCTCAAGGTGAAATAAAACATGATAACCTACAGAAAAATATACACACCTTTTTGAGGTAAATGATTTTAGATCATAATCCTCTTTGTTTTTAGGTTTAAAAGGAGTTCAAGTAAGCTCCATTTTATTTTTATTTTTTGCCAAGAAAAATTTGAAAAGTGTGGAATTTCTTTGCTTTTTCACACTTTATGGTGGTAGATTATATAAAAAACTGTGGAACAATCCTACATTTTTTTTCTTAGTTCTTTTTTTTAGGTTTTTACAGCACTTGTGGCTTGTTTTTTGTACAGTGGACTGACAGGAAAGTGGGTTTGAGAGAGATGGGGGAGACACAAGCGGCAAAGGATCACAAATCGGTTTTGAACACGGGTTGGCCACATCGTGGACTACGGCCTCTGTACATGGGTCGTGCTCGCTAACCAATGCTCCATCGTAGCATGCCTATTTCACAAACAAATTTCAGGTTGCAGATAGTTAACAAAGACAACACAAACACGTTTTGAGTATTTTCCTTAATGTGCTCCAGGTTGGGGCTTTTATGCCACTTTAGGTGATAAGATGGAAAATGGAGCTCCTGTAAACAACAAGCATGTTAAAGAAAGACCTGACGTGTTCAGCAAGGTGATAAAAATCAATTATATGGCTAACAAACAAAAATATGTATAGAAGAAAACCAACAGTGCACACCAGCTTGAACACACGGTCACTACACTGTGAAAGACAGTGGTGGCATCATCATCATCGGAAGTGATTCCTTGACAGTAAAATGGGTCAATCTGGACACAGTGCTGAGTAGTAAATAACTTGCTCCCATGAAAAGAACCTGAAGGGAAGTTCCGAGGCACAGCCGCTATCAGGGGGACCTCACTTCCATATTCAAGGGATGGATGTCTTCGAATGTAGCTTTAGGTTTCTAAAGCTACATCCTAAGACATCCATCCATCCACCTTCTCCTGCTTACTCTTTCAGGGTTGTGGGTCACTTAGGATCATTTGACTTAGTAATACTATCTATATATATTTTTTGTAACTGCCGAGACATATTGTTTTTTAGCTTTTCTGAAATTAAAAAGTTCACGTTTCTTCAGAATCTCATAGAATCAATTATGTGTTTCTCTCCACAAGCTTCTCCAAACTGTTTGCTGGAATTCTAGCATATTTCTGCTGATGGAACTTTAGCCCACTTCATACAAACCTTTTCATTCTGCCCAAAGGATAATTATGGAAACGGAAGCATGGTTTTGTTAAAGGTCACTCTAAAACATTGACTTTAATGACCAAAAGCAAAATATGTAATTTCTTTACCCAATCTGATAGAATGAATAGCAGCATTGACATTTGAAAGACCCAGTTGAGCTTAACCTTTGTCCCTTGCTAAAACCTGGAGATAATAAATTCATTACTGAGGAATTGCAATCATTTATTTCTGTTTATTTTATTAACCCTGCAACCCACATATAGAAAATCAATGTCCCAATGTTTAAAATTAAAGCAAAAGTACAATCTATATCTTGTTAACCTAGGTTAAGCACTTTTGACACCTTATAAAGTTCAAGAATGGCTTTAATTATACAACAGCTGAAGCTCATTTCCAACAAATGTCAATGTATGATAGCATTTCAAAGCTCCAGCAGCAGTCCATTCCTTCGGCACTCAAACTCATACTGTATTTGGATTTACAAATCTTTTTCATATTTGTAAATACTAATATTTATACAATTTTATACACTTTTAAAAGGAATATTGGCTTTTCTATTCACTGCAATCATCAAAACCAAATAATCAAAATATGTTTCATGTTTAATAAATAGATATTTCACTTATTAACTTACATGCAAGACTTTCATTTTGCTATGAGGAAAATAACCAACACATTCCTTCAAATCCCTCCTTGCTAGACTAACACATTCCTAACTGAATAGTCTTGTTCAAACATTTCTGAGGCATGTGGCCTTTATCTACCATTGGTAGAGGCAGAAGATGCCTGCAGAGAGGGAGTCTTACATGTACTAAAGTTTGCACATTGACCTGCTGAGCCTCCTGAACGCCCAACCCAAACTCTACCCAAATACTAGAAATGCTCAGAGAGAAAGTCAACACTTTGGAAGTTTTTCACAATGTTTAATTACAAAATATGAGAGAAAAAAGCAGCTTTATGTGCTGCTAAATGAAGAGAAAATGTGACAGGATGTAAGAATCTCTTTTCAGCCACCAGTGCTTGGAAAACCGAGATGAATGGAATGTAGGGATCTGTTTGAAGATTTATTATAAGGCCTTTCCTTTGACCTTTAGTATTTATTCATTTTGTTTGAAAACTTGCACCAATGGAGTTTTGACTGTTTTACTGGGAACTTTCTTTAGGTTGATCAGTTCTTTCTTTTGCCTTTGCTGGTAGCCTTGGCAGGTGTTACAACCGGAACAGCTGCTTGGTAGAGGGCGGCAGATATCTTGTTGATGTAATACAAGGCAAACAGGGAGAAGATCAGGCTGAGAGGAGAAACAAAGTATTAGGAGGCAATTAGTAAAAAACAAAAAAGGTAATATGAAGACGCACTGTTGTGCAGAAGAGCCACTTACCAGGTGGTGACACAGACACGATGCACCAGACCAGAGGCAAACAGGGAGAGAAACAGGCACAGCAGGACTGAAAGCAAAAGCAAAGAGTATGTTTAATGTAATCATCACATAAACCCTCTTTTATACGTAATTATGCATGCGAAGATAGTGAAAAAAAAAAAAATCACAATTTAAATTTATTTAAATAATTGAAATATAAATCCAGCTGAAAGGGAAAACATGACATTTTAACTCTGTCATCACTTACTCTCAGGAAAGATCTTGGCCTGAAATCCTTTTCCAAACATCAGGTTTTCTAGATTGTTGAATGCCTAGAAAGGAAGTTAAGGCGCAAAACTTCACATAATTGGTGCACTTATATGACCCTGACAAGCACATCAATTTTATGACAACCAGAAGTTTCCAAAATAATTTCCACGTAATTTAAACTTGGGTGAAACTCTTTCATACTTTGTTTCATCCAAAGGATACAGTGAGGGAGCAGATAAAAAGAACCGAGCCCAGGAACCCTCCGAGGATGGTGAGCCACTCTGTGGATCCCAGCTGTTTGCTGAACATCTGCATCCCCGCAAAAACCAGCAATGAAAGCAGACTGGAAAGCACCAGAGAAGTGCCTGTGTTCACCGCTTTAAAGGAAAGGAAACAGATTAGGAAAGAATAGAACTCATAATCATTGAGTTTAAAGAAAAAATGTTGGAGGAGCAGAGGTTATTGCTTTTCTCTGTCGGCAGAAAAACAGCTGTTGACTGCAGCACCTTCCACTTAAGAGTCTTTGGTGAATTTTACAGAAAGCTTCCAGTTTCCAGCTTATAGCTGGCATCTCGGGCCAGATTTGTATTTGTTTCACTTGACCTATATACAAATGACCAAATATCATTAGACAACTATAGTTAGTTGAGTTATGTTAACTAGTTATCAAACCTACTCCATTTAACAGCATTATTTAATAAACCAATATGAGCTGGTGCTGTGATGCTAAAATAGCTAAAACATCACATACATTTCCAACTATACAGTCAGTTCAACTTTGAGTAACTTATATTAACAAGCCAGAATTTGTTTGAGTTTATATGACAGGTGTCTCCTAGATGATGATTAAATGATATAAAAGATGTTTTACTTAGAAATACATATTTCTTGGTTTTTATTTACATTTGAACCAAAATTGGTCTGTCCAAAAACGCTCATACACCTTTCAAAGATTAATAGAAAAAAGAAAAATAAAAAATAGAAAAGCTGCTGCCCAGCTTTTTGCACATCTGTACTAGTTTTTCCTGGTTGTTTCTCTTGGAGCTCCAACTCTTTTAGAGCAGAAGGTCTCCATGCCATCACCCTGATCTTTGGTTCCCTTCACACATTCTAAATTGAATTCAAGTCACTACTCTTGCTTGGATGCTGAAAAACCCTCAATGTTTTCTGTCACCTCTCAACCAATTTTGCTACACGTTTTGGTTCGTTGCTGTCCTGAAATATCCACCGGCGCCAAGGCATTGCTCTTTTTCTGTTGGACCATTTATTGTGATAGAATGCTGAAAAACATCCCTGAAAGATGGGTTCCAAGCACCATGATTGATAGTGGGTGTGGTTATTTTTTGGGTTGACGGCTTTTCTTTTATATGTCAAAGGATTGTGGAGGACCAAGAGAGTCAAAAACAGCAATTTGAAATATAACATTGAAGTCATACAATTAAAAGTCCAATTCGAAAAGTGTTTTCAAATTAAATATTTTAAATTGACTTGAAATTTAAAATGTGTAAATTCTATAATATGTCGACATTTTACGTTTTTACTCTTGTATTATCAAATCCTATTTGCAGTAGCATTTTCTTTTTACTGCAGCCCCTCCATTTACATTTTCCATGAAAACCAATCATAAGCAGATGTAGCCTGACACGTTTCTTCTTCTTCAATGGCGGTTGGCAGCAACTTAATGATGTATATTACCGCCATCTACTGGAATGGAGTGTGGATCGGGATGCTATATATATATAAATTCTCCCACAAAACAAAAAAAGCCTGACACACTTGGTTCACAAGGTTAGTAAAATAAGAAAAATAAATGAATACGTGCAAAAAGTATTTAAAAATGCAAGGTGAAAAATCAAAAAGGAATAAGGAATTACCTTTTTAAATGTGTGATTAGGAAAGGTATTTAGAACCAGATTTATGATCTGTGTTTTATATCTCCATTTCGAAATATTATTATAAAATCCATTTTCAAATAGCAATATTTACTAATGGATTACTAATAAGGGAAGACGGGGATGGATATTTTATCAGTGTATCGCCCGAAAAACCAAAGTTTAATTTTAATTTGAAAGCTCTTCTTTAGGCCACGTCACTGTTCTCACATAGAGGTTTCCGACGTTTAAACCAAATCATGAACATCAGCAGCAAACTCGATCATTTTAACAACTCTGTGTATAGTGACAGTTCACACAGCAAATATACTCTATTTCTTCTACAAAAGCATACTTTAATTTAATCAAATGAATCATTTCCGCTTTTACAATAGCTACTCACGTTAGCTCAATAAAAGCATTGGCTACCTTTACAGTGGGACCATATATTCTAAGAAAACCTAATAATCTAACACATGTATGAAACCGCTTTGCAGATAAGACTCAAAAATACATACCCATGATTTGAAGCTTATTATAAACTTTTATGCTGAAAGAGGAGTAATTTGAAGTGCCCTCGCAAAGCCAGATAATTTAGCCGGAACCAAAAATGACCCGGAATGAAAAAATCTGAGGGACCGATGGGCGGAGCCAAACCATAACTTCTTCGGCCGTTTTTATGGCGGATCGCAAGCAACTTTAAGGTTCATACCGCCACCTACTGTACATGAGTGCGTAGCAACATTACATCAAAAAATTCTATTTTTACATTTTTTATTCTGTAGATAAATAAATAATTCGTTCCTTAATCTGTGAATATCCTTCATATTTCCTTAATTTCCCGATATTCCTTTAAGACTCCATTCCTTTCAACCATCCTTCTCAATTTATCCCTTTCATGTTCATAAGTTTTACAGTTCATCAATACATGTTCTACGTTCTTTCTTTCCACACCCTTCACATTTATCTCTATTCTTTCTCCCTGTTCAATATAAATTGTCATTTAAATAGGTATGACCCACTCTTAATCTGATTATTATTACTTCTTCCCTTGTGTTTCTCTCATTAATAATTCTATTTAATACTGATTTTTGTACCTTATGTAATCATCTTCCTTTCTTATCTTGGTTTCATCTCTTTTACCATTTTTCTATTTCTTTACTCTTAATAAGTGATTTACATTACCCTTTCCTTTTTCCCAAAAGGAATTGTAATTGTTATTGTTTCCTGTAAAGCTCTTTTTGCTAATATATCTGCCTTTTCATTGCCTTTTACACCTTCATGTGCTGGAACCCAAAATAATCAAATATCAATGCCACCCCTATATAATCTAAATAGACTGTGCTGGATTTCTAAAACTATATCTTTTCTATAATTTCCTTCTCCCTGAATACTTTCTAAAACTGCTTTGGATTCTGTCCACGCCACCATCCTGTCTGGTCTAACCTCCTCTACCCATTGTAAGCTTATTATTACTCGATCATAACTGCAACATCTCAACGATTTTATGTTGGCCAAACAGATTATTATGGCTAAACTTTACTCCGTTTTTATTGCTTAGCCTTAATGTCACACTAGACAGATAATAGTTGTTAAAAGAAGGTTGATGAGGCTGAAAACTTCCTGCAACTATCCACTGTAAGATAGAAGGAAGCGTATAGAAGTTGAACGTAATTTCTTGACCTACAAGAGATCGTGTATTATGCATCCACAGTCGTAACTTTCTGAAGGACTGTGTGGACATGTCCCCACCAATTATTTTAGCTTTTTTCCCCTCTCCGCTTATGTACTTTAGCCAAAGGTAACAGAGTTGGGTGCAGCTGTGTTCAGAGTATTTTGAGTCAGTTACAGGTTGAAATTAACCCATGTTTTCTTATTGTACAAACAGAATCAGACTGTAGATCTTATACATATCTTGAAAATTTGTTTCTGGCATTATTATATTAGTAAATAGGTTCAAAAATCTTTTTTAAATAGAGCTCACAGAGAAGTTGGGAGAGCTGCAGATTTAAAGGTGAAACAGATTTACTGGGATCTGAAACATGCAATAAAATATATCTCCAAGTTTACCAGAAAGTTTACAAAAAAAAAAAAAAAATGATATATTTAAAATGCAGCATGTCCATATTTTTTTGGATGGATGGAATTGAAAATGTACTTCTAGGGAAGCATGATTTATCGATTTTGGCATCGGAATCAGCTGTTATTTATTTTTTTTTAATATACATTAATGTCTTTGGGCCCTATATATGTAATGCATTAAAAGGCATCTCTCTATCTATCTATAAATAAATATCTGTGTATTATGGTTCTCTCGTGTTCTCAACAGCAAGAAAGCATTCAATAAATATATGTTTGAGCTCATTTATGGAAAATACAAAAACCTAATGAAAGCGTTCAGGTTTAGTAACTGTAGGTCCATCAGCCCCCACCCCACCAATTTTCATCACAAAGTTACACCCTTGTATGCATCAGACTTTTAAGTCCTAAGATATTATATGGATTCCATATAATAATTTAATGTAGTTGAAAAGAAAGTGCACTGAAAATAATTACTTTAAATTTAATTAAAAATAGAAAAATACAAAAACAGGTTATGTAACATACAAAGGTTTAAAAAAGCAACTATTTTTAATACTTCAGTCTAAATAATTATTTTCAGACCATTACTGTATATGTCACATATCCTCTGCCAGCTTGACTCAAAACAGAACTAATGCTGTCAAAAACAAAACAAAAGCAACACTTTTTAATGTCCCATCGTTTTTATAAGGGTTTCTTCTTCAGTCCAAAAACTGCTATGAACAGAAGAACCTCCACGAAGGCTGGTAGGACACTGTAAACAAGACAAGGACATCAATATGATTAAAACCATTGTAGTATCACAGGGCTTATGAACATTCAAACCTTTACTCCAAAGGAAATATTTACATCACACCAGCTTAAAGGCACACCAACCTGCAGCAGGCAAAGATCACCCAATATGTCCAGCATTCCCACTTTTCAAACACAAAGAAGGACAAGGACACAGATGCGCTGCAATGGGCAGCCAATGCTTGAGGAAAACATACGTCAGGGAAAAAAATCTCTTCTTCAAACAGAACTATAACACTAACCTGCAGAATGCAAGGATCCACCAGTAGATGTCACACTCCCAATGCTCAAAGAGAAAGAAAAGGAGAGCCACTGAGGCACTGGCATGGACTCCTGTGGCTATTGCAGGTGAAGTGCCAAATATAAGCAACGTGATAGTTATGGATCTCAACTGACTGATTTAAGGAAAGAGTTTTAATCTATATTTGCTGTGCTTAGTAATTCTAAAGAGAGTTAACTTTATTTTACAAATACAAATTTTAACATCAGTCCTAAAGTATTCCTGGTTTTCAAGTTCATAAAGCTGATTACTTTTGCTGTACTGCAGATGTTTATAGACTTTCACATTGTCACTAGCTGCAGCAGATCGAGTTGGTTGAGAGGAAAGAGCAACTGACAGGAGAAACCTTCTGAAAAATAGATATACTGATAAGTATAAATTTTATGGTTGATAAATAAAACAGAGTCACATCAGAGTAAAGGATACAAAGAAGACTTTGGCTGGAGTTGAACATGGACACTCCTGAAAAGAAACCAGCCAGCTCTATTGCAAACAGACCTAGGGTGACTCCCAGTGCCACCAACAACCTGAAAAAAAGATCAGAATATTGATGGGTGTGTATTTAATGCTGTTAAATATGTCTGTATAACTGTTACCTACTTTTTGTCCTCAGTTTCATACTCCTCTTGGGTAAAATCCAAAGGTAAACAAGCTTTCACATTATTTTCCTGTAATGAAAACATTATAAATCAAATGCCCATTTCTCAAATATACTGGACATTTGGATATGATTGGAACAATAACGTCTCTCTGATCTCTAAATGACTGATGGTCAATATGTAGTTCATGTATACAATGGACATTAAAAGGATTTTGTTTATATATATATATATATATATATATATATATATATATATATATATATATATAATATATATATATATATATATATATATATATATATATATATATATATACAGACAGACAGACAGACAGACAGACAGACAGACAGACAGACAGACAGACAGACAGACAGACAGACAGACAGACAGATAGATAGATAGATAGATAGATAGATAAAAAAAATAAATCTATTACCTGCTCTGTCACAAATCAGTAAAGGTTAATGAATAGTTTGATGAGCTCGGTGTTGACTTGGACTATAAATTACCAAGACTGAATTTCAATCAAGCATCATATGGACTTGCATTACAAAGAAGAACAATCTACAAAGGAATCTGTTTATGGTTAAATTAATTAAAGAATCTGCTTCCAGTATGCTGTCTGTACCACAGCACACCCACAGGGGCCTATGGCTCAATCTGGAGCAGGGTGATCAGGGCCTTTTTGGCAGTAAGAGGAACCAGCACACTATCAGGAAGGTGGACATTATATCATGGCTAGGGAAGACAACATTCTTTTAAATCTGAAATATACTTAGAAATCAGCTAATAAAATAAAACGAAAAAAAAAAAAAAACAAGAACAAAAAAAATAAATAGATATTCTACACACTTCATGACAACCCTATATTATCATTTGTTGTTATTTATTTTTTATTTATTTATAAATATATAAAAAATACATATATAAAAATAATAATAAAAAAAGAATAAAAAGATAACCCTATATTAAATAATGTCGTTAGAATCTTTAGAACTTCTATTCTCAATAATAATAATACTTCATAATTCATTTTTTAGCACTTTTCTTGCATAGTTTTATTGTACAAGCATTAACCTTAGATCGTAATCATCGAACTTACCCTTGACCAAAAGATGGTGATAACGATGACAAGATGAGCTATGATGGTGAGAAACCGAGCAGGAACAAGACTGCTGACAGCCGACATATTAGCACTGTTTGTCTCGCGTTGGACCAAGTATAGAGCTAGTATAGATGAATATAAAGAAATAAGCAGTTGCTAGTTAACGAAAGCTAAAGCTACTAGTTATTGAATACCGCGCAACGTCGCAAAGCTACATTAAACAGCTAGAACAGCTGAGCTAAAATTACTGACAAGGGGCGAACTTAGCATGAAGATACTATTTAATATATAGATAAATCATGACAAAAACTATTGTCTCTCTGAAAAACATTTGATAAATATGTTTACATCTCAAAAAGACCTATTTTACAATATAATCGAACTTATTTTTCGTTTGTTTGCCGCGCTGACGCTCTAAGCGGTTGCCACAACAACCACTGAATGTGTGCGATCGCTATTAATGACCGGACGCACAACATATTCATTTAAAGGTTCCGGCGACATACAAGCCCATTTAGTTTTTTTTTTTTTTTTTTTTTCTTATCGTTTACACGATGCTGACATCTAGTGGTGTTAGCGCGACATGCAATACAACGTAATTTATTCACTAAAGAAATAAAAAAGGCAATGTTTGGATTTATTTTACGAAATTTTGTGTGACTTATTTTGTCAAACAAAACTGTTCGAAAGTGGACATTTAAAAATGTAATTCTGTTATGTCCAACTGTAATTTATAAGGGTAAGGTAGGCTCAATTCTAATATAAAAATAGATCCATCCATCCATCCATCCATCCATCCAGTTATTATTTACTTTTCTTAAATAGGGTGGCAGTGCAGCTTATTAAACTTGATGGTGAGATTAGCCCATATCCCATAGTTGGGATCATGGCCCCACTTGGGGTCATGGATTAACAGGTAGAGCCCTGTACAAAAAATAAACTGAGCAGTAAAAAATGCAAATGATCAGGCATATTTACGTATTAAACAATATGAAAACATCACTTAGAAATAGACAAAACCAAATATATAGGTTACTGATGCTATTTTTATTACTCTTCAGCATTTATACTATTTAGACTCCACTTCCCAGATAAACTGAAAATTCGCTTCGAAAGATAAAAACTGGATTTCTACTTTTTTTTTCACTACATTGATTGATCAACCAAGACTTTACTTAAGACATATATTTCTTTTTATTTTCTTTTTAGGATGCCCCCCATGGATGTGTTAATTTGTATTCATTAAATTAAAATATTATTTATGAAATAGGTAAGGAAATTTTTAATCCTAAATAATTAGAATTTTATTGGATTTCCTTTATGCTTTATGAAGGTCTATATATAATCACCACTATTATAGAGAATAAATAGTAGTCTGTTTAAATAGCTTTTTCTTTCCAATGGTGTTTAATTGATCATAAATAGGTTTGATTCGACTGTCTTTTATTGATTGAATTTTGCTCCTTCTGGCCCCACACCTCTATATATCAAAGCCAGAGCCTTTTATGCTCCAACCTCCCCCCATCTTTCCCCCCAGCAGTCAGACCAGTCCCCTCACAGACTCAGCGTGTGCAGCTCAGTAGCGCATCAGCGAAGCTCCGGTGCAGGCCTGGTAGAGCCACACAGGATAACCTGGCGTTTTTTCCCCCAGGAAACGGACTCTTTTATACCGCGGAGAAATATTTCTAGTATGGCAGAAGCGGAGTTACAAACCTTTACCTCCATCATGGACGCGCTGGTTCGCATCAGTGTAAGAGTGATGCTCATTTTATTAGCAATAATATCTGCCTGTGCAACTATTAAAGGGTTTTTTTTAGCCTTTCACTCTGTTCTGCTCATCTCTCGCTTAACTGCTTGGTTTAGAAGGCTGCTGCAATGAAGGAATGTGAGGTATTCCTCGTTTTGATAATTGTGCGCCTTTTGGATCAAGCAAATCTAAAAGCTCCTTTTTGTGTATTTTTTTTTTTTTTTTTTTTTTTTTTTTTTGGTACAGTCAGAACTACACCAACACCGTTCACATGGATCCAAAAGCAGCCCCCGACTGGGTCGTTGTTTGGTGGTTATAATTAGCTCTATGTGTTGGCAAGTAGCATAAAGGGCTTTAGGCCGCGAGAAGGATGAGATGATGCGCGTTGTCATAGAAACGGGAAGCTGCGCTTCGAAGCCGCTGGTGTTATGTATATTGTCGCAAAAATGCAACGTATATTTTAGATAAGTAAATAAATAGGCTACAGCTGAAAAAAAGAGATTAAAAAGGTTTAACATTTATTTATTTTTAGGCTTTATTTGATTCAATGGATCAATAGATACAGGTGCTGGTCATAAAATTAGAATATCATGAAAAAGTAGATTGATTTCAGTAATTCCATTTAAAAAGTGAAACGTGTATATTATATTCATACATTACATACAAACTCATATATTTCAGATGTTTATTTTGTTTAATTTTGATGATTACAAATGACAACAAATGAAAATCTCAAATTCATCATATCAGAAAATTAGAATATTGTGAAAAGGTTCAAAATTGATGGCCCCTGGTGCCACACTCTAATCAGCTAATTAACTCAAACCACCTGCAAAAGCCTTTAAATGGTCTTTCAGTCTAGTTCTATAGGCTACACAATCATGGGGAAGACTGCTGACTTGACAGTTGTCCAAAAGACGACCATCGACACCTTGCACAAGGAGGGCAAGACACAAAAGGTCATCGCTAAAGAGGCTGGCTGTTCACAGAGCTCAGTGTCCAAGCACATTAATAGAGAGGCGAAGGGAAGGAAAAGATGTGGTCGAAAAAAGTGTACAAGCAAGAGAGATAACCGCACCCTGGAGAGGATTGTGAAACAAAACCCCTTCAAAAATGTGGGGGAGATTCACAAAGAGTGGACTGCAGCTGGAGTGAGTGCTTCAAGAACCACCACACACAGACGTATGAAAGACATGGGTTTCTGCTGTCGCATTCCTTGTGTCAAGCCACTCTTGAACCACAGACAGCGTCAGAAGCGTCTTGCCTGGGCTAAAGAGAAACAGGACTGGACTGCTGGTGAGTGGTCCAAAGTCATGTTCTCTGATGAAAGTAAATTTTGCATTTCCTTTGGAAATCAAGGTCCCAGAGTCTGGAGGAAAAGAAGAGAGGCACTTCATCCACGTTGCTTGAAGTCCAGTGTAAAGTTTCCACAGTCAGTGATGGTTTGGGGTGCCATGTCATCTGCTGGTGTTGGTCCATTGTGTTTTCTGAGGTCCAGGGTCAACGCAGCCACATACCAGGAAGTTTTAGAGCACTTCATGCTTCCTGCAGCTGACCAACTTTTTGGAGATGCAGATTTCATTTTCCAACAGGACTTGGCACCTGCACACAGTGCCAAAGCTACCAGTACCTGGTTGAAGGACCATGGTATCCCTGTTCTTAATTGGCCAGCAAACTCTCCTGACCTTAACCCCATAGAAAATCTATGGGGTATTGTGAAGAAGAAGATGCAATACACCAGACCCAACAATTCAGAAGAGCTAAAAGCCACTATTAGAGCAACCTGGGCTATCATAACACCTGAGCAGTGCCACAGACTGATCGACTCCATGCCACGCCGCATTGCTGCAGTAATACAGGCCAAAGGAGGCCCAACTAAATACTGAGTGCTGTACATGCTCATACTTTTCATGTTCATACTTTTCAGTTGGCCAACATTTCTATAAATCCTTTGTTTTTATTGGTCTTCAGTAATATTCTAATTTTCTGATATGATGAATTTGAGATTTTCATTTGTTGTCATTTGTAATCATCAAAATTAAACAAAATAAACATCTGAAATATATGAGTTTGTATGTAATGTATGAATATAATATACACGTTTCACTTTTTAAATGGAATTACTGAAATCAATCTACTTTTTCATGATATTCTAATTTTATGACCAGCACCTGTATACTCTGTCCCCATCAAAGCTTTTTTTTATCCATTGACCTAAAAAAAGGGTGAATCAGTCTTTCCTGCCTTAATTTACAAGCATTTTTAACTCACAAAACACTATTTTGCTTATTACTGTATATGTGTTTGTTCCAAACAACCCAAAACTTCCATCTCTGACTGCTATATAATTATTAGATACATTAATCCCATTTGGGCTTCATGGTGGTGCAGTTTGGAGCAGTGTTCCCTTGCAGTATTAAGGTCCTGTATTAAATTTTGGGGTAGCTTTCTTTCTTCTTGGAGTTTTCATGTTCTCCCCCTTTATACTTTTTGTCCTGGTACTCTGGCTTGATTTGAATGATTGTTTGTTGGCATCTCTAAATTGTCTTTAGGGGTGATGGTTAAGCGACAGAAGATGGATGGAATTTGTCTCCATTGCTCCATTGTCTAAATGTTGTCCTACCTTGCTAGTAACTCTCATCCCCGTTTCTTTGGACTTAGACAAAATTTAAGGCCATTTTTGTATACACGGAGTGCACACAAAATGAAATTTCATTTTGTATAGCTTTCAGACAATAAATGAGCAGCAGCTTAGCAGTAAAGTGCTGCAGTGATCAAATGTAAACAATGTGTGAGAAAAAACATGGTACAAAAATGCACTGATATGGAAGTTCAGAGCATTTCAATACAAATATATATGGTGCAATTACGCAGTATTTTGGTTTGATGGGGAAAAAAGCAGCTCCAGAATCTGCTGTACCTGGATGATGCAAAGCCTCTTCCCAGATCGCACAGGGAGAACAGACCAGGGTGGGGGTGTGAGTGGTCATTGATGATGTTACGGGACACGCAGCGCTGGGATGAAATTTATTTTATGGAGGGAAGAGGAGCCCTGATGATCTTCTCTGTTGTTCTCACCACTCTTCTCACCTTCTTCCAGTCTGAGACACTAGCCTCCACATCACACAGTGAGACAGTTGGTCAGAACGCTCTCTATGGTGCTTCTGTAGAAGGTGGTGAGATGGGTGGGGGCACGTGGGCCCCCCTTATGCTCTGCAGGAAGTACTTGCGCTTCTGTGCCCTTTTTACCAGTGAGGTGGTGTTTACAGTCCAGGTGAGGGTGTCTGTGATGTGCACCCCCAGGAATCCAATGCTGCTTACCACCTAGCTGAGCTGTTGATGAGCAGTGGAGCATGGTTAGACTGGTTCTTCTTGAAGTCCAAGATGATCAGCCTCCCTTTATCTCTTTTCTCATTTCCCTTTGTCCATCTCGCCCTTCATTGTTTCATTCTCTCTATTTTATTCCACTCTTGTATTTTTAGTTTTGTAGATCATTCCTTTGGTTCCATCGCTAATATTTTATCCAAATTTTCCTCCTTATATTTTGCTGTTTGCATCTTCTCTCCATTATGTCCCTCCTTACCCATTTCTCGTCCTTCCTTCCTTGTGTTCCTGCATTGTTTCCTTGTTTCTTTTCTTCCATCTGTACTCCCGTCCCTCTTATGTGATACGTCTCATGAATTCATATCATAGAGATCATTTTCTGGACTCTAGATATTGTAAAGTG